AGACCACGCTTGTATTGAGTGATTGCAAGGTTGACCGGGCAATCCAAGATCTCGTTGAAGGTCTCCCAATACCTGGAGTTATATACCTTCAGTGTGTCGCTCGGTTCCATCTTGACACTTAGTAAGTGATCGACTTCCTTTGGTGTTTTTGTGTTGGTTTTGAAGCGCGTCACAAAGGCTTTGGCCAACTGGTGCCACCTTTGTATGCTCCCTTCCGGTAACCTCTCGAACCACTTTAAGCCCAGTTCGCCTAAACTTGACGGGAAGATTAAGCACATGAGTCCGTCATTTCGCCTATATCCGGCCATAACCTGTCGGAAGTGGCTCACATGCATGTAAGGATCGGTTTTTCCGTCGTAGAGTGTGAACTTAGGCTGGTGGAAGCCTGCCGGAAGCGGTGTTGTTTCTATTTCCAGGGAAAAAAGGGTGGCACTCAGCCTGGCCAAGTCCGTATCTTCAAAGAGTGGCACTGCCTGGCGGGGTGGAGGCATTCCGACCTCCTCGCTGGCGTGAACCCCGTAGGATAACCGCTGGAACGCCGGTATTCTCTGAGCTTCGCGCCGGCAAACCCGCTTCTTTAAGACCGCCCGCAAATCCTCTGAATGAGCGGAGTAAGAGTACCTCGACGTCGTCTCCGGACGTGAGGGTTTGTAGGTGCTGTCTTGCGCGCTAGACTTTTCTGCATGCGCGTCGGAATCACCAACCTAGTAACTTCTGGTGATAGATATGGACTGAGTGCGTCGCTGACTCTGACCGCCTAAACAGCGGGATAGGCACCGCTCACTGTGGTCACCCACTCCAGCTACACCTTTACCTTTGACATGCCGCTTCAGATCCTCCATCTCCGCCGCCATTCGTCGGATGACAGTGTCTTGGTCCCTCAACTTATTTTCCAGACGTCTGGCGTGTGAGTCTCTCCTCCGCCGGTGACCGTCTGGACTCCGTGAATGTCCATGACTTCTTCCGCGCTTATCCCGCGCGTCTCCTGACTGTCCTCCAGTGGGCGTCCCTAAGTCCGCCATTGGATGGATGGCGGAAGGGCCTTCTCTCCTTCGGGTGAACTCCGGGGTGGCTCCGTCTATGGCAGACAACGGAAACTCGTCGTTGTTCGCCATGGACGGCGATCAGATGAACCTGGAAGACAAGGTTTTGTCTGTCAAGCTTCCCACAGACGGCGCCAATTGTATGGGGAGCAAATATTTTGGCAAGCCCGCACTCCTTTCTTCCAAGCTCCGTTTCTATCCGATCACCTGCGTGCACAACAGCAGTGAGCTACCTGGCGGTGTGTGGCCGGAAAACCCCTCCGACGATCAAGTTAGACACACACAGGGATAGAGAGGGAGAGAGGATTGAGTGTTTAGTGTAAATCTCACCAAATGTTCCTCCTCTGCGTATGGGGGGCGCAGACATGCTTATATACCCTCTGCGCCCCATATCCACTCCCAGTCATCTCCTGACACATGGCTCCGCTATCCCATCTGTCAGCATAAACCTTGCTGAACATCACCTAATCTCAACTGCCTGCCTTCTCAGCTGGAGCTCGGTAGCCAAGCTTCTCTATCTACGGCCGTGCTGTGCTTCATACCCAAGCACTTCACTGGCCAAGCCCAAGGAGGACCGGGCTAAGCGGCATCTCAGCAAAGCCTAGCCCGGGGCACCTCTTGTGGTCGGCCTTCCTGCCGATCAAACGATTACCTCGGCTGACCACGCCTTTTCGGGCGCCGGTCACTCAGCTTGACTGGCTCCACCATCGCCTGATCAAGCAGCTCGGTCCAACCGAGCACTGCCTTGCCGAGCAGCTTCTTTACGCGGCACATACTTGGCCCAACTCCTGCCCGGCCCAAGTCCTGGCAGCCCATCTCCGGGCGGATCGCCTGTCATCTCGGCCCCATGCACCATTAGGCTCTCAACCCGCTCGTCCGTTGCCTCGGCCCAATTCCAGATCATAAATCTCCCTCTCAGTAATAGAATGTAGTTGCTGAGGGTGATTGCCGACAATGGGAGATGTTTTCGGCATTAAAATGTGGTGGTTGAAAGAGCTCACTAGAGACTGGGACTGGAGGTGAGGTGACCAGATGTGGTGGTTGGTGGGTGATGAGCGGTGGGTGGTGGCTAGAGGGGTGAAGAATAAGGAATGATTGAAAACTTCCTAAATTATATACAAGACTAAACAAAAATAGATACTCAAACAGTAAATTTTGCTGGTTACAAGTTTTTGAAAATAAAAATAGACACTTAATTTTTTTTTCCTTATAATTTTCAATTTTTAATAAATTTATACTAAAAAAATTAAAATATAAAAATCACCAAACATATCCTAAATATTTTGACTTTTTTAAGCTTAACAACAACTGCTAGTGGACGATCATTGACATCACCGTATAACAATATATGCATACTTTTGCATGTAATGTATTATCATCATTGTAATTATCATCCAGATTTTCGTGTGTAGGGTTTGTATTGGCATGTTACATGTTTATTATTAACTACTATAATATTAAAACATGTCCAACCAAATTATGCTTTAGTCACTGGTTTTATGTACATGGACTTTTTGGTTTTTTGGTCTCATTGCAGAGGACATTCATTTGCAGCATTATGCTCCCTACTGTGATATTATTTTTCCTAATTTCTAACATGTTGGGTCAATTCTCATTTAGTTTTATAAATATTTTGTAAATTACAATGATAATATACATAAGTTAAATACTATTAAAAAATATGTTTTACGTCGACAAGGTTTCTATGCAAGTAATTAGAAAATACAACACATAAGAGTTTTCATGAGCGTTTTGCATCAGCAAGTAGAGGGATGAGATTCTGGGGATAATAAAAAGTATTTGTATCAACCACTAATTATTTGTATTAGCGTGGATATCTTTTAGTGATCACAACAAAACAATTGGAAAAATAAAAATCTTACTTTTGATATATATTAAAAAGGGATTAAGTTTCTCACGGATGTGCTGTGAATACCAATTTTACGGACACCCTATCAAGTATTGACACGCCATGTATAATAAAGAAATAGTGAGAAACCTTATTTCATACCATAGAGAGAGAGAGTTGAAGCTTTCAATAACTTAACTACAGTTAGAGTTTTAAATAATATAAAATAAATTATAATGAATTGAATTAGGTTGAGCCTATTTTCAAAAGCTGCGCAAAAAGACGTTCTTCTTCTCCGACGATCAAAAACTTAGACCTCAACTCCATCTTTTCCGGCAAGAAAAAATCGAGACCATCAAACGTGCATATAATTTAGTGAGTTGTTTGATTATCTCAGTTCTTCTCCTTTTATATTTTTTGAAACAATTTTTCGAATCATGATATAAATTAAAATTGTCTAGAACAATTTTGATCGGGTCGCAACGGAGAGTGCGTTTGGGAAGAGCAAAGGATGAACCATCATTCACATTAACTGAATGTTCATCTCAATATCATTTTGTATATTGGATTACAAAATTAATCTCAGCCTCTGTTTTGGTTTTTTTCTTTTTCTTTCTTTTATTGTCTTTGGATTAAAGATTGGAGGGATGATAGAAAAAGAAAAAGCGAAAAGTGAGAATCAAAAACTTAGACCTCAATTCTGTTTTCTCCGGCAAGAAAAAATTGAAACCACCATCAAATGTGCATATAATCTAGTGTGTTGTTTGATTATCTCAGTTCTTCTCTCTTTCTATTTTTTGAAACAATTTTCCAAATCGTGACATAAATCCATCATTCTCTGCCTGGAACGATTTTGATCAGGTCACAACTAGAGCAAAGGAAATCCAGTGAAAAATACCAGTAATATGGCGTTGAGGACTCGAAGCCAGAGGTCTGATCAAGGATAGTGATATTGGTACTGATGTGGTGGGAATGTGTTTCAGAAAACAGTGCTCGTGGGATTGGGATTTCGCCCATGGTGGCCAAGCAAGGATCGAGGATTTGCAGTTAAAATCTGCTCTTGACCCTCCAAAGTAGTTTATTTTTATTTTTTGATTAAAAAAATTAATTATTGGATCCCATTTGTAGCTTGTAAAAGTTTTAGTTATTGGCGTTTTCTTTCTCTAAAACACCTATTCAGGCACATTTTTGGTCTATTTTTTACTCAAGTCTTGTTTGCTCAAGTCATAGGATTGGGAATGATCTAGTTCTTCTCTGAGAGTTCAATTTTGTGATTGGTGTTTCTTGGCTTTTTTGTTAGGATTTTTTTCTTTATTTTATTTTCATTTTGTTTTTATTTTTTTTTCCCTTTCTGTTTTTTGGCTACGATGCTATTTTTTAGCTTTCTTTTTGTTGATGTTTGTCTCATTATCATTTTGTATATAAGATTTCATCAATAAAATTTTTATTTTTGTGAATCAGAAAAATATAAGTACTATTTTATTTGCATTAAAGGAAAATCAAATTTTAGTGTTGCTTGTTAAATCTTATTGTGAGCATTGACACCAAAGGCACACTCAATATTGCAATAATCCAGTTGAAACTTTGATTATATATATATTTGGTGAAGTTACTGTTTCATTAGAGCTTGCAACAAAAGTGATATAAGTGGGGGGCGGGAATTTTTAGATGTATTGAAAATTTTTTAGGAGCGAGTTCTAAATGGGGAATGGAATTTTTGTCCAAAATAATAGATGGAACTCCACCTGTATACCTGCTTTTTTGTTCCAGCTACTAGACGAAATACATGTGAATTTTATTGAGTCTAGTAACTTTCGCTCTAGCTTCATAAATAAATTATAATAAAATCACTCATCGATCATGTATAGTCCAAGTAATGCATATCATAATAACTAAATTCAATCATAAAAATTACCAATATCATAGTTAATTGAACTCAAAAAAGACTCAAAGTGGCACTAGCTATTAATAGTTATCACACTCAAATAATATCAAGCATCTACCAGTTGGTTATCATTACTCAATACCAATTGTGTCAAAGTGGTTATTTTTATCATGTTCTTCAGCAATCCAAAATCAATCCTGACATGTATGTTGTTTTGATGCTTTCACTTGTATATGTTTTTTCCGGCCTCCGTCATTAGATCCTGTAATAAGAATAATCATTAAAGAAATTAGAAAATTGATGAAATTGTAAATCGATTAAATTTGAAATTTTAAAGTTTTATTACTAAATTAAAAAATTAATACCATGAATGTAGAAGGCTTAGGATCTTGAGACACAGTAAATTGAGGACATGGAAGATCCAAAGTTATTGGCATGGAGTCCTTCATGTGAGAAAATTCAAGAAACAAAAAATTCATTTATGAGAAACAACTAATCATCTATGAGAAGAAACAAAAATTCATAGAACTTTTAAATTACCTGATGAAATATTTGACTGGTAGGCGACAAACTTACATTGGCATTATCTCTGAAAGAGGGAAAAAAAATATAACTTAAAATTACATAAAATTTAACTTACTAAGTAAGTAAGAAGAAGAAGAAGAATAAGACACCATATAAATCACCTTGGTTGGTTTTGCTGATGACAACTAGTCCTGATATGCCCTGTTTGCTTGCAAATGCTACATTTTCTCTTTTTGCCCACATGATTCTCTTTAGGATGTTTTTGTCTAAGTGATTTGGGTCGCCCCTTTGAAGCAACAGGTAGGGGATCTTGCAAAGTGAATTCTAAATTGGACAAGACTTGCTTACCACCTTCAAGTAATATTTCATTTACTGAATTATCATCATTTTCAATTTCATTACTATCATCATCCATAGCTAAAAGTTCACAATGTGTCTTTTGCAAAGCAAGTGCAAGATAGTCATGTTTCTTTTCTGATTTCTGCCCTTCTTCAACATCTTTCAAAAACTCTATCATCAAACTATTTCTCATCATAGCATAAGAAATTTGTTTACCTTCTTGTACTACATCCTTCAAATTTTCATGTGCAGCATGATCCTTCACATTTATTGTCCATCTTCGAAGAACATATTGTTTAGGGAGATAATCAACAAGAGATTTCTTAACAAAGACAGTAAGAATGTGTCTGCAAAGAATTCCAACAAATTCAAACATATGACATGAACAAGTAGCTTTCTTTTCAACACCATCAAATTCTACTTCATAGATTTGCTTTTCTTTCCCATTTGCCATTACCTTATATGTTTTCGTTGTTCCTTCCTCAAGATATTTAGATGCTTTGTGTTTTTGACTTGAAAATAGCTCATCTTGAAACAACAAAAATATTTTCCTTGTGTACACTTCTCCCGCCTCTGCCTCCATTTTGTAACATGTCTTTAAAATTACTTTGGTTGTTCTTGTTTTAACATCTTTTTCTTTCTTCTTCATGTATCTTCTATCCAAGGCTTTCTCACATTGATGGACAAAGTCACTAACCAATGTACTAGAATGGACGAAATCCTTGAAAATTTTGTTCATGCTCTCGCTTCTTTGTGTTGTTGACATCCCGGCACAAAATGCTGTCCTCAAATAAGCTGGTACCCATTTTTCACGCCGCATGTACAAGTCTTTCAACCATTCGTTTTCCCTTAACTCATATTTGCAAACTAATTCATCCCATTCATTTTCAAACTCTTCTATTGTGACCGTGTCATGAATGCAATGGTGAAATGAGGAATACTTGTTATAAACATGAGCCAAATGTTCAGGAACTTTTTGTAAGATATGCCACATGCACAAACGGTGAATACTATTAGGCAATACATATGAAATTGCCTTAGCCATGGCTTTGTCATCATCAGTAATAATAACAGCAGGATTATGCCCACCCATTGTTTCAAGCCAAGTTTTTAACAACCATATGTACGACTCTGTCGTCTCATTCACAAGTAAAGCACATCCAAACATAATTGATTGGTAGTGGTGGTTAACACCTATAAAAGGAACAAAGGGCATACCATAGCGATTAGTTAAGTACGTAGCATCAAATGTGACTACATCCCCGAAGTGTTGGTAAGCCAACCTTGACCTTGCATCGGCCCAAAAACAATTTCCCATGCAATGATTTTCATCCACTTCAACTGCATAAATAAAGTCTGGGTTCTCTGATTGACTCTTATAAAGTAATTGTACATTCTTTGTGCATCTCCATCTTTTAGAAGTTTTCTTCTTTTACTTCCCAAATAATTTTGAATATCCATTGTAACACAACCACCGTTGCAATCACTAATAGATTCTTGACTTAACACTGACGCTATCTTTCTAGTGGGTACACCGGTTTCATTAAGCATATCAATGAGATTTTTCTGAGCAAGAGTCATTTTTCTATGTCCTCGAAGTAGAAGTGTACTTTTTGGAGAGCACAAATCATGATTATGTTCAATTACAAATTTACTTACAACCCATTTCCTTTCGTCTTTTCTCAAACGCATCATTGCTTTACATCCAATCATGGTCATAAGACGAGTTGTGACATTCTTATTTTTCTTTTGGTAACTTGGTCGACGGTATCCTTCTCTCGTACAAGCAAATTCTACTCCAATCAATGACGTATCTTTACTAAATAGTCGAGTGTGATTTTTTCGAATGTCAAAACCTTTTCTCCTTGCATATGCATTGTAACAAGTCATGGCATCTTCTAGTTCATCAAAAATCATGCCTTCACATGGCTCTAACGGATTGTTACGCAAAGAAGACTTGATAGGTTGGTGTTTTTGATTTTCTGACAAATTTGCATTGTTCAAATCACCCCCTAATTCTGAATCTACAAAATATTCTTCTTCTAAACAATTATCAGAAAATACGATATCAATCCCTTCACTTGATGTGCTTTTCATATCAAATCTATAATACAAAATTAACATTATTCAAATTTATGTACTAGTTAAAAAATAATATAAAAGAAAGTAACAAATAAAATAGAATCTTTATAAAATTTTTGAACCTCATGTTGTATGTTGTCTTGGTTTGGTAGTGTAAGGTTTATCAGAATCAAAATTCAATCAGAATGTCTATTCTCACATTTAATTCAATAAAAAATAATGAACATACATCAAAAATGAAATCATCATTCACCAACAAATGAAATCATCATTCACCATTAACTGAGTGGGTTTGATTTGTGTTTCTATTATACCTATACTGATTCAAAATTAAAAATCTATGGTATAACCTAGATCACATTCAAAAAAATAAATTTGATCAACCTCTTTTACTTTTTTTTCCTAATAAATAAATAAAAACTATTTTATTTTCAATTTTTAAACAATAACACTACAAACCCACACTTATCAACCCAGAATTTACTCAGAAAAATAAGTCAATGGTTTAAATTCATTTTACCCATAGACCCCGTAGTTCATCAATTTAATCTTTACCACACAAACCCATTTAAGGTAAATATGGGTTCCGAAGGATGAGTTCATAGGCCAATCTTTAATCCAAAGACAATAAAAGAAAGAAAGACAAAAAAACTAAAACAGAGGCTAAGAGTAATTTTGTAATCCAATATACAAAATGATATTGAGATGAACATTCAGTTAATGGTGAATGATGGTTCATCTTTTGCTCTTGCCAAACCCACTCTCCTTTGCGACCCAATCAAAATTGTTCCAGACAATTTTAATGTATATCACTATTCGGAAAATTGTTTCAAAAAATATAAAAGGAGAAGAACTGAGATAATCAAACAACTCACTAGATTATATGCACGTTTGATGGTCTCGATTTTTTCTTGCCGGAGAAGATGGAGTTAAGGTTTGAGTTTTTGATCGTCGAAGAAGAAGAACGGCTTTTTGCGCAGCTTTTGAAAGTGGGCTCAACCTAATTCAATTCATTATAATTTATTTTATATTATTTAAAACTCTAACTGTAGTTAAGTTATTGGAAGCTTCAACTCTCTCTCTCTATGGTATGAAATAAACTATCCCACTATTTCTTTATTATACATGACGTGTCAATACTTGATAGGGTGTCCGTAAAATTGGTATTCACGGTACATCCGTGAGAAACTTAATCCCAAAACGATTAAAAAATCTAGTTTAATTTTTTATTTGCTAATATTTTTTTAATAGAAAAACATTCATATGTGTGTCCACTCATTCGCATTTAAAATATATTCTTAAAAAAAAAATAGATTCATTTGTAGCATTACGCAGCTTACTGGGATGTTCTTTTCCTAATGCATAAGGGAATGGACCAATTCTCATTAGCATTTATATACATAGCTTGTAAATTACAATGATAGTACATTAGTTAAATAAACACAAATGAGTCTAAACAAAATATGGATTTTATATTATTGTATATCACTTGGCCTCTCCTCAGTAAAATATACTAGCAAGTACAAGCACATGCTACCAACAAAAGTTGAATACAAATATCCCTCCAATCCAATCTGGTCATCTCTATACATGATATAGTTAGTATAGTGGTACATAATTTTTTATTTAAAAAAATAATAATAATTGCACAGAATACATTATGATGATACAGTTTATCCTAGTGAATGGAGCGAACTGGTCCGAGCTCCTCAAGCCCAAGTCCAAATGATCGAGCCCACCGGATATCCTGCAAACAAGTTCCACGGGAAATGAGATAGTCCCCCAGTGAACCCTCTGACGAGCAAGTTAGGAAGAGAAGTAGAGTATAGATAGAAAGCTTAACATTCTTCTTGTTTTCAACGTTTGCTTATATTCTTTGGTAATCATTTTGCTGTCTCTTCCAACCTGCCCTCCTCGCCGAAAGTCTATGCTGTAGCTTACCTTGTTCAGGGTAAGGGGACCCTGTTCCGACGAGAGGTGTTGTCGTAATAAATGCTGTGACGCGCTGCATTAATGGTAATGTGCAGTGGCAATAACTTTGCAGATCTTTGTCTGCTGATGTGGCTCGTCCTTCACCCACCACGTGCCTGAATGCCATTAGTTCTTATGCCATATTGGATTCCAGCTGTTCTGGACTTCTTCGGCTGGGTTATGTATTGGGCTCCGATTGATGGGCTTGGGTTATTTATAGTGGTTCATGACCTTTGTGGACCTGTTATGTATTGGGCTCCGATTGATGGGCTTGGGTTGTTTATAGTGGTTCATGGCCTTTGTGGGCCTGTCCATGTCAGTAGTCCCCCATTCCCGAGTGCAGCTTCAGTCTAACGAAGGGAATATGTATGAGGAAGATGAGTCCGACCGGGATGGGCGGCCAAGTTGGTGGACCGAGCGTGAGATGGTCCGACCGTGGGGAGGGCTGATCGCGCGAAGGCCGAGCGGCAAGGAAGACCGTGAGGAGGGCTGACCGTGCGAAGGTTGAGCGGAAAGGCCGACCGTGAGGAAGGGCGACCGCGCGCGAAGGCCGAGCAAAAGGGCCGACCGTGAGGAGGGGCGACCGTGAGCAAAGGCCGAGCGAAGGGACCGACTGTGAGAAGGGACGACCGTGCGCGAAGGATTGGGATCCTTGGAATACGGGCAAACCGTGAGCTTTTGGCGTGATTCGATTCACCTACTTGTTTACAAAAACTCAAAGCATCCCAAGTGTTAATTCCTTCGTTGCTCACTATACACCTCTGCAACAGTTTTTTAATTTTCTTGCTCCTGCGTCAGAAGCGATTCGCAAACATTCCATAGAAATGGCCCAAGAAGAAGCTGTGAGTGTGAGGGTGGACCTACTTGGTGATGATGATGCAGTGGAGCTAACGGCGCAGTATAGGACAGAGAGGGTGGGGGAGTCGGTGGTACGATCCCATGGTTCCACTATGATAGCAGCTCCAAAGCCAATCAGCTAGGCGGAACCAGATCATTAGCACACGAAGGCTGACAAATCCACGATTATTGCGGCGAAGTTGGAGGCTATCCGCGAAAAATACCAGATCCCTATGGAAGTGGAGTTATTGCTGCCGACATCAACAGAAAGGCCGTCTGACGCCAGGCCAGGAGAGTTTTCCCTTTATGAGGAAGCTCTGAAGGGTGGACTGAGGTTGCCACTGCCGCAAGTGGTAGTGGATGTGCTCAACCATCTGGAGGTAGCACCGGGGCAACTAATGCCCAATGCATGGAAGATCCTACTGGTCTGTGCAAGTGCGTGGCCGAAGGCGAATGGAGGGGAGGCCATGACAGCAGACGAATTCTTTGCATGTTATAAGGCCTCGGGGCAGCAGGAGACGTGGGTCACTCTGCAGGCAGCAGTGGAGAAAGGGTTGGTGGCGGGGCTGCCGTCGTCGATCAAGGGGTGGCGACCACGATGGTTTTACGTGTCTGCCAATGGGGGGCTTGGAGTGCGCACCATTTGGAAAGTACCCATTAGGTCTGTGGAGCCGAAACTGAGAGCAGCCACGGAGGGGAGGATGAAGAGAGTGAAGAGGGTGAAGGAGCGGAGGGAGAAAGAAGGGGCCAAATGGGACGAGCTCGTTCAGCCGTCTGCATTATTTGAGGCAGGGTTGGGTCCAAAGCCAAGTAGTGGGGACCTTGACCGAGCGGAGTTGGAGGCGAGGAAAAGGGCTCAGGAGGCGGAGGATCAGGCCATCCTTGCTAAAGCCCAAAAATTCAAAGAGTCCCAAGCCGATCGACCACCAAAACCGGTTGCGAGGGAGAGGATTCGACCTCTCTCCAAACCCTTGGAAGAGAAAAACTTAGGCGATTTCGTGCCACGGCCGCCCCCAACAAACCCTTTGAAGGAGAAGTCTTTGAAGGAGATGGAGGCGTTGGGCGTGGGAAAGAAGAAGAAGAGGGTGAGGCGGAGTGAGCGAGTGCCTGCCCAGAAGAGGAGGAGGGAGACAAGTGTGAAGGAAACCAGTGCTGCCAAGGGGGCTGAGGGGGGAGAAGTGGAGGGGACCCCAAGAAGGGTAGGTGGCCCAGAAGCGGTGGATGTTGCTTCAGAGGGCATGGAGGTGGTGCCAGTGGTGGCGGCGATCGCCGCAGGGGTCGCGAGGGCCGCTCTTGAAGGGCAAGGAGAAGATGGGGCAAGCGGCCCTGGCTCAAGAAGAGAAGAGCAGCCCTAGGGGGGCCCTACACCCGAAGGAGGGGGAGTTAGTCTGACCACAGCGATCTACCACGCTCACGTGGTGGCTGGGTGGCTGGAGAGAGAAGAAGGCCTAGCTAGGGCAGGAGCAGACCGCCTGGTAGGGATCGTAGAAGAGGCAACCCTGCGCTCAGCATCCAGATTCAACGAGGCTGAACTGCTGAGAGGGTTATGCTCCGCCCAAATAGAGGTAACCACCTTAGTAGGGGCTTTGTTGAGGAAAGCGGGGGCTGCCAAACTCAAGGCAGATGAGGCCAAGGCCCAGCTTGCGAAGTTGGAGAGGGAGAGGGCGAGTTGGAAAGCTGCCCATGCTGAT